CAAGATTGTCTGAAGCACACTGAATTTAATTGTGCATTATAACTCATAATTTATTATTATCATTATCTTTTTTAATTTTCTTCCACTCTAGTAGTCTGAAAGACGGATATACACGTTACTTCTTGTTTTTCGAGCAATATATATATTCGTTTGCATGAAAAGTGAGCAAAATAATGCCTATTCGAACTTGTCATATCCTAAAATATACGCATGAAACGCATGAATTTTTCTTGTTGTTTCATCTAAAATATATAGTTTGCTACTGCCAGAAGCGAGTAATATCATGTTACTAGGGCATAGAGGTCGAGACACATGCATTGGGATTTAATTCAATTATGTAAATATCACGTTCAAGTGTTGCTGTGTATAGGTATTTTTTATAAGATGACGTCATTTGTTCTATAGTTTATCAGCCTCAAACTTGCTTTTAAAACTTATAATTTAACCCGAAATTTTTTATATGACGGTTAACCAAGTATAATCTTTATCGTGGTTTGATAAAAGAACGGTAAACAGGCCATTAGAACGGTAAACGGCGACTCCAATTTAAAACAATGACTAGACCTATCATTTACTATAATATCTTGCTGCTATCCCCGTTTACCGTCAATATCACATCAAATCCTTTCGTTAATCGTTTGAAATGTTCTTATATATTATTATAAAAGGTTTATGCTCCAAAAGTCATGGCGATATACTCGTATTTCTTTACTATGGCCAATTTGAACATTGTACAGGCGACTCTTTGTTCCTCGTGGGGGGTCGCCATACTATAATAACCTGTGAAAAGTGCCGATTGCCTATATGAAAATAGCTGTGTAGACAACGTTTAGCATGTCCATGATTCCATTTCTTTTTAAACTCTGTAGCTATGTTCTATAGCAGTAGCTAGTTGGTTCAAATGGACCAGGGAACGTTCGCACGTTAGAGTGAATAGGCGTTTTCTGAGCAAACCATGTTATCAAGTTTGACCAATTCGGTTACTTTTAGTGTAGGATATGTTTTTACATTCACTATACGAAGCTTTCAATGATGATATGGAATAAGGTAGAAATCAAGTTTAACAAAAATCCAATAAATAATTTACTTTCATCCAGACGTGTATTATGTCCTCCTAATTAATTTCCCTTTACTTACAATATAAATATAGATTTTGCATCGCCTGGAACGATTGCTAATATGGATAAAAATTTCGGTTACCTACAGTCCTTGCAGTGTAACATATATTTAATAATTTTTCCTCCATCGCAACACTAACCGACCTGCCTTTCTAACCATAACTCTCAAAGAATTGGTATGCTTGTAAAATTCCCACATTCAGACAATCTTGGACATAACTGGTTGAGACTATTTTCCCCCTATAGAAAATTCGCGTATTTTTATGATAAACTCCATGTTGAATCATGTTGCCATTCTTAAACCCCCGCTCCCCCAACTCAATGTTGAGCTTGTATCATGGTATATTACCAAAAGTTGTTTCGGCGTTGCTCACAACATTGAACTGGGGGGGAGGGGGGGACAAAGTTTGTTTTGTCAATGTTCAATAACTTTGTAATATTAGCTGAAATGGTCTCAAGGGTTTTGTCCAAGATTGTCTGAAGCACACTGAATTTAAATGTGCATTATAACTCAATCTTTTTTAATTTTCTTCCACTCCAGTAGTCTGAAAGATGGATATACACGTTACTTCTTGTTTTTCGAGCAATATATATATTTGTTTGCATGAAAAGCGAGCAATATAATGCCTATTTGAACTTGTCACAACCTAAAATATACGCATGAAACGCATGAATTTTTCTTGTTGTTTCATCTAAAATATATAGTTTTCTACTGCCAGAAGCGAGTAATATCATGTTACTAGGGCATAGAGGTCGAGATACATGCATTGGGATTTAATTCAATTATGTAAATATCACGTTCAAGTGTTGCTGTATATAGGTATTTTTTATAAGATGACGTCATTTGTTCTATAGTTTATGAGCCTCAAACTTGCTTTTGAAACTTATAATTTAACCCGAATTTTTTTATATGACGGTTAACCAAGTATAATCTTTACCGTGGTTTGATAAAAGAACGGTAAACAGGCCATTAGGACGGTACTAAACGGCGACTCCAATTTAAAACAATGACTAGAAGTAGACCTATCATTTACTCTAAAATCTTGCTGCTATCCCCGTTTACCGTTGATATCACATCAAATCTTTTCGTTAATCGTTTGAAATGTTCTTATATATTATTATAAAAGGTTTATGCTCCAAACGTCATGGCGATATACTCGCATTTCTTTACTATGGCCAATTTGAACATTGTACAGGCGACCCTTTGTTCCTCGTGGGGGGTCGCCATACTATAATAACCTGTGAAAAGTGCCGTTTGCCTATAGGAAAATAGCTGTGTAGACAACGTTTAGCATGTCCATGATTCCATTTCTTTTTAAACTCTGTAGCTATGTTCTATAGCAGTAGCTAATTGGTTCAAATGGACCAGGGAACGTTCGCACGTTAGAGTGAATAGACGTTTTCTGAGCAAACCATGTTATCAAGTTTGACCAATTCGGTTACTTTTAGTGTTGGATATGTTTTTACATTCACTATACGAAGCTTTCAATGATGATATGGAATAAGGTAAAAATCAAGTTTACCAAAAGTCCAATAAATAATTTACTTTCATCCAGACGTGTATTATGTCCTCCTGATTAATTTCCCTTTACTTACAATATAAATATAGATTTTGCATCGCCTGGAACGATTGCTATTATGGATAAAAATTTCGGTTACCTACAGTCCTTGCAGTGCTACATATATTTAATAATTTTTCCTCCATCGCAACACTAACTTATCTGCCTTTCTAACCATAACTCTCAAACAATTGGTATGCTTGTAAAATTCCCATATTCAGACAATCTTGGACATAACTGGTTGAGACTATTTTCCCCCTATAGAAAATTCGCTTATTTTTATGATAAACTCCATGTTGAATCATGTTGCCATTCTTAAACCCCCGCTCCCCCAACTCAATGTTGAGCTTGTATCATGGTATATTACCAAAAGTTGTTTCGGCGTTGTTCACAACATTGAACTGGGGGGAGGGGGGGACAAAGTTTGTTTTGTCAATGTTCAATAACTTTGTAATATTAGCTGAAATGGTCTCAAGGGTTTTGTCCAAGATTGTAGCATGTGAGCGTCGTACTCGAGCAATGATCCATCGACTTGCCGCTACCCCTGATTTGCTGAAATGTTATGGCGACATTATTGAATAACAAACTAAGCGAGGATTCATTGAGAAAGTCGAAGAAACCAAACTAACCGACAAAGCACATTACATTCCATATCACCCTATCCAAAAGGAATCAACAACAACACCAGTCAGAATTGTTCTCGACTGCAGCTTTCAATCATCACCAAATTTTCCTAGTCTGAACGACTGTCTTCTTACTGGTCTACCGTTTCTGAATGACATGTGTGCCATTTTACTGCGGCAGTTTCGTACATTCACCTATGGCATATCAGCAGACATTGAGAAGGCCTTTCTCCATGTCGGACTCGATGACAGTGACCGAGACTTCACTAGATTCCTTTGGCTCTCAGACCCTACAAACCCAGAGAGAAAATTTGATAGCTCCCCCTTCATGTTGAATGCTACCCTCCGTTGCCACCTAGAAAACTACGACCTCCCTATAGCTCAAAACATAAAGGACAATATTTATGTCGACAACATAATTTCTGGTTGTGACCAAAAAACGAACAGTATTCTGTACTACAACGACGCCAGATCTATTATGCATAATGCACATTTCAATCTCCACTCTTGGCCATCAAATAGTCCATCACTTCAAGAAATTGCTACAAAAGATGGAACAGCTGATCCTAAAACCATTGTCAACATCCTCGGTTTGAAATGGAATCCATCAACAGATACTCTAAGTTTTCCACCAGCACAGGATTACACACCACCTCCAACTATCACTAAGCGTCACGTATTACAAATCTCTTCCAAGATCTACGACCCTCTTGGACTTTTATCTCCTTTAACTGTCAAAGCAAAACTACTAATGCAAGAACTGTGGCAGAACGAACTGGAATGGAATGAACCACTACCTCTTTAACTCAAAACTAAATGGCTAAATATTGCAAGGGACTTACAAGAAGCAACCAGCGTTTGCATGCAAAGAAAATACCTTTCCCAAACTCCTGCACCAATTTCCACAATATACATCCATGTGTTTGTTGATGCAAGCCCCAAGGCATATGGAGCTGTGGCGTACCTTACCAACGGGAACCAATCATCGCCCATCATGGCAAAATCTCGGGTTGCACCCTTGAAGGAACTAACACTTCCTCAATTAGAATTAATGGCCGCTGTAGTCGGAACACGATTAGCCAATCTCCTATCTTGTACCCTCAGTTCCAGGTATCCCAACCTAAGAGTAAAACTTTGGTCTGACAGTGAAATAGTGCTACATTGGATCAACAGCAGCAAACCACTAAAGCAGTTCATCCTTGGTATGGGGGCTTTTGGGAACGTTTAATTGGGTTGACAAGAACTGCACTAAAGAAGACACTCGGTAGAGCATCCGTAACACTAAGAAGAACTCCAGACCCTTATCGTTGAGGTAGAAGCCATCCTAAATGATCGTCCAATTACGTTTGTGTCAAGTGATATAAACGATGAAGAGCCACTAACACCGTCACGCTTATTGTACGGAAGAAGAATCACGTCATTACCGTTTGATACGCCTGTCTCCGAGGATGACCTAACAGATCCAGATTATGGAACTGAGTCAGATATTCGACGCCGAGTGAAACTACAAACTATCATTTTACAACGGTTTTGGAAAAGATGGAGGCACGAATATTTAACCTCGTTACGTGAGTTTCATCGTTCTAGCGGAGACAATAAGCAGATTATTAAGAATTAGACGTAGTTCTAGTCCATGACGACAGCCCAAGGTCCACCTGGAAACTAGCAGTTGTTGAAGATCTCATTCGAGGAGGTGATAACTTGGTCCGAGCAGCGAAAATTCGGACAAGCACAGGGTATGCAAACAGACCAATTTGCAAATTGTACCCACTAGAACTGTCAACGAACGAAGTCAAGGAAAAGGACATAAGCAACTGTGATCAAGAAAACCTTGTTGTCAACAATTGAACTGAACAAGAGAGAACGGTTAGAAACAGACCTGTAAAACCTCAGCCGCGAGAGCAGCCAACAGAATTTCAGAATGGACGAAGATCTTACGCCGCCCCCGGAGGATGTCGAAGAGATATGAACATTCCAGTATACAGTATATAGCTCGGGACTTTAGCGCATGCGTATGAGGATATTTACATGTGCTCGATTCAGAGATTGACTAAAACTATAGCGTATTTGGTTTATATTATATACTAAGGTTATACTATTTCTATGCATATTACTCTATTAAACGAAGTCAAGTACTCTATTTCCGTCATATACATTCTACTCTACAATAGTCTATTGATTTCATATGAGAAGCTAGGGAAGATTAATAAGTTTATTTCAGTTATGCTGTGTGTTTCATTGATATGTTTAAACATAATACACAAAGAGAAATAAACTTTATATTAATTTTGAACGATGTTTGAAATTCGAATCACTAAATACTGCTCACAGTTTGAATAATAATTAGCACTTGAAAAACAACCAATCAGAGCCCGACTTTCGCTGGTGTTTCCCAGAGCCTCAGCAAGCCTCCTCAGAGGATTGCAGGCTCTGGTTTCGAGAAAGAGCAGTGGCGTAACCATCCTCGTACCCAGGGCGTAACGGAGGAAGAGGGGGCCCTTAGGCATATTTGGTGTGGGAGCCCATGTTGACTGTTGTCATTGTTTGACTGAGATATTATATTTATATTGAATATTTATAGAGTGTTCTGGAAAATTCTGTGTCTATAACATAACAGTCTCCAAAACATGTAACAACTAATTAGAATAACTTTTGTTTTATTTGAGGTGGAATAACCCTGTGGTTCAAACTTCAAAATTCTTTGTAGTGGGTAATATTAGATGATAAACAATATAGGCCCGGTTCAACGAAATGGCCTGAAAATCGATGAAAGTGAAGTAAATGACACAGTCAAGAAGTAAGTCGACCAATATTTTGAATCAGTGACAGTAGGTGCGTATTGAGGCATTATTTTTTTCTCAATTCTCATGTTTTTGTATCTTTATACAGCCTCGTACCCAGGCGCTATGTGTTGTTCTATGGCTTGCGCGGCCTTTGCGTGGGCCGCGTGGATTAATTTGATCGATTTCGTGGTTTTTCGTTTTTCTCCCGGCCCTCGCGTGCTGTCCCACCACAGCGGCCCAATCTCGCAAGGGTCAGTGTAGACTTATAGTATAAATGTATATTATAGTAATGTATATTATAGTTAAAATATGTCATAAAATATAAATTATAAAATGAAATTGACTTGCCTATTTGATAGTGTGTGTTCTCCTTTTATTCCTCCTTTGTTGGACTGATATTTTCAGAGATTTTGTACTCGATGTAACTAGTATACATGATACATGATAAAGGCAAACGACTTCCAATCGTCAATACGACGGCACGGCACTTCGAATCGAAAATTCTCGCACTCAAATCGCTTTATTCTCCAAAAAAATTCGCCAGCATGTACAACAGATGCCGTTCTTCGAAAATACGTAGATACTTCGGCGAGATGTACAAGTTTTGGACCATATTTTAACAATGGAAATCAAAACCCATTTTATATTGAACTTGCCCAGACCGAAAATTACTACGGCGAACGCCTGCGCAACCAGGCCTCCTAAAACCATTGGGATTTACGGGGGGGAGGGGAAGAACGCCGCCTGCCCACTTCCCGCTTTTTGGAATTTGCATGCTGTGCAATGGGAAACATCATATTGTCGTGCATATATCACGTATTTTATAATAAGAAATGTATTTAAAACAATTTATGATGTCTATATATCATATTTCAAATTATCCTTTTATATAACGATCATATTTCGACTAAGGAAAAATCGAAAAATAATATATATATAGACATCATAAATTGTTTTAAATACATTTCTTATTATAACATACGTGATATACAGCTATTTCAATTAAGGTTGTCCACGAGCAAAGCGGAAAAGTCGAATACGAGCGCGAAAGGCTGCTGGGAATCGTTTTGAAAATTAATTAATTTGTTAGCGATTCCCAGCAGCCTTTCGCGCTCGTATTCGACTTTTCCGCTTTGCTCGTGGACAACCTTAATTGAAATAGCTGTATACACGACAATATGTTGTTTTCCATGGCACAGCATGCAAATACCAAAAAGCGGAAAGTGATCAGGCCGCGTCCTCCCCCCCTCCCCCCGTAAATCCCAACGGTTTTGGGAGGACTGGTTGCGCAGGCGTTCGCCGCAGTAATTTTCGGTCTGGGCAAGTTCAACCGTAAAATGGGTTTTGATTTCCATTGTTAAAATATGGTCCAAAACTTCTACATCTCGCCGAAGTATCTATACGTATTTTCGAAGAACGGCATCTGTTGTACATGCGAATATTTTTGGAGAATAAAGCAATTTGAGTGTGAGAATTTTCGATTCGAAGTGCCGTGTCGTCGTATCGACGATCGAAAATCGTTTGCCTTTATCATGTATCATGTATACTAGTAACATCGAGTACAAAGTCTCGGAAAATATCAGTCCAACAAAGGAGGAATAAAAGGAGAACACACACTATCAAATAGGCAAGTCAATTTCATTTTATAATTTATATTTTATGACATATTTTAACTATAATATACATAACTACAATATACATTTATACTATATAAAGTCTACACTGACCCTTGCGAGATTGGGCCGCCTGTGGGCCCACGTGCGCTTAATGACGTAACAAACCAAAGCGCCTGGGTACGAGACAGATCATTATATCAAACCAGTGGCGCCGCCAGGGGGGTGGCAAATGCCCCGAATTATTTTCTCCCCCCCCATTCCCCCCCCCCCTCAAAAAAATATTAGTCACTGAGAGCAACTAGGCTACACAAGCTACACAAGCGGTTTGATGTTATCGGAAAATGTATGGCTTATAAGTTGTCATTACTCATTAGTGAATGCGCGTCATACATGAAACTGTTTTTTCCAGTTTCAATATTAGTTTGTAAATCTCTGAATGGTAAAACTTGCCAATACTCCAATAATACGTTTCAAAAAAGCTAAAAAAGCTTTAGTTTTGTTGAGTTGAATCCTCAAACGTGTAAGGTACTAATAAGATGAAAGCATCACGAAATTATTTGAATAAACCACATCGCATATTTGTTAATCACGAAATTATTTGAATAAACCACATCGCATATTTGGGGGGAGGGGGCGAATATCCTAAAGGGGGGCGATATTCCTAGGGTTTTCGCACAACTGGGGAGCAATATTCCTAGGATCTTCACCCCCCGGTGCGATATTCTTAGGAATATCGCCGCCCCCTCCCCCTGAATCTCCTACGGGGGGGGGCGAATGTCCTGTGACAACGGCATGGGCAAACAGCAGTACCTTTTTAAAAATTTATCTTGCCCCCCCCCCCAAAAAAAATGAGTTTGCCCCTCAAATGCCCCTCCCAAAAATTCTAAGGCCTGGTGCCGCCACTGTATCAAACTAAAATCACCTCTAAATCACATTAAATGGGACTAAATAAGTTATACTTTAAATTTAAAGTAAAATTTTAATGCAAAATATAATAGAATAAAAAAAAACCCTACACACAGCCTGGGCCACCTGTGGAATAATAAAACCAGCTACCGTTGTCGATACGTTGTCGATATCCTACAAACATGATGATGCACAATGCAAAGTAATTTCAAATAAGATCGTCCCATTGAAAAGGGAAAGATCGTTTGTTCCCAGAGAAACTTTAATAGAAATGTACAATGCTTTGGATGTGGCCACACTTCAATTACTGTTCAACAATTTGGAACGATGGGTCTTGTTCGGTAATTGACAAATTATTTAAATTACAAAAGAGAGCTGCGCGTGTGATAACTGGGACACGTACGATGTTCGTTCCACACAAATACTAAATAATCTTAATTGGCTTCCAATTGAGGAACTTTAAAAAAAACGGGAATTGAAGTGATAATGACATTCAAAGCATTAACTGGTCGATTACCACAATATGTTGTAAAACTATTTACAAGATGCCAAAACAATAATTACAATCTAAGAAGTAATCAAACCAAATTGGCGCTTCCCAAACCTAAGACAAATTTCCTCAAAAGGAGCTTCTCGTACGTATAGAGCTGCGAAATCGTGAAACGAACTTTCAAGCTCTAGTGAAACCATCGAAAATCACAATGAACTATTAATCTTATCATTTAAACAGCGATTATATAATTAGGTAAAAAATTGATGCTAATAATACTGATACTTTGTTGGTAATAGACATAGAAATATTACTCTTCTGTGATTGGTTGTTTTCAGTGCATTTAATCCATAATAATATACACAAAGATATTACTCGAGTGCAATTTCAGCAGTGCAATTTTCTGTAATCAGTGCAAAAATCTGTACCAAACCGATCTGATTGGTGGAAAAAAATTGTGATGATTAAATCAACCAATCAGTTTAAATTGCTTCAAAACAAAACAAACATGGCGCCGCGCTACATGAAGTAAAAGTTTCCTTCGCGTGGAATATATGTCTGTTATCTTTACTTTTAATTGGAAAAGTCTTTACCTTGAACAATTAGACTAACAAAAATTACATAGTTGAGTGGAATTTTCAAGCTGTTAGGGTTGTATAATGTGATATAACAAAGCCATGAAAACTTTGCCAGTGGAATGTTCGCTATAAACGCGTAAGTTAAAACTGCAAGTGTCTCGAACATTTTTATGTAAACTATTCATATGTAATAGCATGGTTTCTCGTGAAATTTGTATAAACATGCACTCGTGAGTTTCTCAAAGACCTCAAATAGAACTCGTCCTTCGGACTCGTGCTATTTTGAGGTCTTTGAAAAACTCACTCATGCATGGTATATCCAAATGACACTCGAAACCATGCTATTTAACAATTAGACAACGAGGCCGAGTTGTCTAATTGTTTTAGTATAAACTTTAACATTAATTTACAACTAGGCTGCAAACACAATACAAAAATACACAAAAAAAACATAAAACCATTAAAGGTAAACAAATATTTTAGTTTTTGTTCGCGTAAAATGTTTTACAAAATTCAGTTTTAATTTTAAAATTTCATTGAGT